CTTCCCCTCCTGGGCTCCGGCGGCGCGGGGTCGGGAGGTATGGGGGCTGCCCAAAGCCCGTAGCGCTCGGCTCTTGAACAGAGCCGAAGAGTCGGGGAGGAGCAGAGCCGCCGCGGCCGGAGGCTCTGCTCCTCCCCTGACTCTTTGGCTCTGTTTAAGAGCCGAGCTGCCCCAGCGCTACCGGCTTCGGGCAGCCCCCATGCCTCCGGACCCTGCGCCGCCGGAGCCCAGGAGGGGAAGTGCCCGGCCGGCGGCTGGGGTCCGGAGGCAAGGGGGCTGCCTGAAGCCCATAGCGCTCAGGCAGCTTGGCTCTTAAACAGAGCCGAAGAGTCAGGGGAGAAGCAGAGCCGCCGCGGGAGTGGAAGTGCCTAGGCGGCATTTTCCCGGACATGTTCGGCTTTTTGGCAATTCCCCCCGGACGGGGGTTTGAGTGCCGAAAAGCCAGACATGTCCGGGAAAAAGAGGATGTATGGTAACCCTACTCTACTACTGTGGATTGAAGCAGCAGCTAGTCTCTTGAAACCTTCTTTCCTCCTGGCTTCTGTTGGGCCCCATAATGTAAGCTCCATGAGCAAGTTTACAAGGACATAGTTGCAGGGCTCAGATTATATATTCTCAAAGCCAAAAAAAATTTTCTGTGAAGTTCAGATCCGCCGTGAATGTGGGAGGAGAAGGAAGAAGAAGAAAAATATGGTGAGGGGAAATCAAAAGAGAAATAGACAGAAATTCACAGGAAGTAAACAACAAGACAAGAAAGAGACGATGGGAGCTGGGGACACGGGTTACTCATGCCAAGGGGAACACCCACGAAAACAGGTGAGGAGGTACTGATTATTTAGCTACTGGTGTGTATGATACAGTAAATGCAAAGTTAAGGAGTAGTGCTGGGTGAAATTTTTTGGTGGATTTTTTTTTCCGGGAAAAATGCAGATTTAGTGACACTGAAACATTTCACAAATTAATGCCAAATTGTTCACATGAAATAACCCAAACAAACATCCAAATACGTAAACATTTCAATATTTTGGCTTGAAATAACTTTTTGTTTTGAAATTTCCTTTTATTTTAAAAATGGTCAAAACTGAAACAAAACAGTTTGTTTTGATTCAAACAGAATTTGTTCCACCCGAAAAATTGTCAGTGAACCAAAAAAATCTGTTATTCACACAGCTTTATTAAGGAACTCCAAACAACCTTAACTCTGCCCCCATATCCTTTATACACAGCACTCTGTTCATAGAAGGTAGACAGCAATCTATGACAAATATCACAACTAACTGACATCTTAGTGGGTTGGCCAGGAGCCTTTCGGGGTAGGAACACTTTAAACCCTGGGTAATTAGATAACTTTCAGTTTGGACTTTAAGAAGTCCACTCTTTGCTACTGGACAGCGACAGCGACTATGGTTTACAAAGCAGGGAGTAGGTGTACTGCAAGGGTTGATATTTAAAAGGTCTACTCTGGTAGGGGGTCCACCACTAGTGAAGGATTATTATTGTTGGTGTCACAATGGTACCTACAGGCCCCAATTAGGGATCAGAGCCCTGTTGTGTAAAGAAGCATACACGCGTGATAAAGACAGTTCCTGCCCCAAAGAGCTTACGGGATTTGCATAGTCCCACAGTGAAACAATCAGATGCTATTTCGTAATGGCAGCCAGAGTGCCACGACTGCTGCTTTAGCCATTATCGAGAGTTTTGTAGACATCCCTTTTCTCCACAGGGCTTGACTTCTGCAGGTCAAGTCAAAGTAGCCCAAGGCAAGTGGTGAGGGAAAACTGACTCAACACAATTTTACTAAATGGCAAAATTTTGACAGGGCAGGATCTGCCTCCAGCACAGATGTCTCCAGGAAGAATTCCTCTAAACTGAATTACCATCTAATAAGCATCAGCAAGATATTCCTACCTGCAGACAGCTCTTTTTCTGAGGAAATTCCATCTAGGCATCTTCTCTCACTCAGGTCCTGACTTCCGAACCCCGACAATAAAATAGCTCACGTCAAAACAAAATGAGCAAACAAACCTCCTGGCCTGGAGGATACGTGCCTCTCTGAGGCTGCTGAAGAGGAATTCTAAGCCTTCCCAAAATTGATCCCCTTTATGAGCCACTTGCAATACTGGTGTGTCCCCCTCCTGGCTGAGAAGGCCTGGTGATGATCCCTTTGGTACTTGTCAGTACCACCCTGGGAGTCAGACTGGGTTGCCTCAGAGCAATCCCTGCTTTCCTTTTCCCAGGTCACTGCATCTCTGTAAGGAGATGAGTGATGAGTGTGTTGCCTCGTTGGCACCCATCAAATCCTTTGCTAGACCAGGGGGTGAGAGGTGCTAGAGATCTGATTTCCCCTGTGGAGCTGTATGCCTTGTACTTCACTGGGCTTACATCTGTCTCCCACTCATAAGGAGAAGCACACTGTTCTTTATCTGGCATGCCCTATTTATTGTATAATGCCATGTATGTTTGTGGCAGTGTAATAATACAGTAGACTATCAGGCCAGCCCAATTCTAATTAATGTTACAAAAGTTAAGCGGAGAGTAGGGTTTCATTAGAGGAGTGGTTTAGTTTTTCTGTTCAGTGCTTTAGATGTTTGAGGGGTGGGGTTAGGGAACAAATAGGCTAGGTTAAAAGGCCCCAAGTCACATATTCATTGCAGCAAATTGCAGGAACAACTTCTAATCTGTTTATCCAGCAGGACAGACTATCAGCAAGAGAAATCAGAGCAAGCAAGAAACCAGAGTTAGCAAGCTGTGAAAGAGACAGAGACAGAAAGACAGCATGAGCACTTCAGGCAAAGTAAGCAAGCAATTCATTTAAGAAAGTTCTCCTCATTGCAGTTGATAAAGAAACCGGTACAGAATTGTTGATTTTAAATTTGTGATTCTTAATATTTTAATAATTCAGAGAACTTTTAAATAATGGTTGGCATAAACATGGTATGGAGTGTTTGCTTCGCTGCCCAAGAAAATAAGCACTATGCTGAGAATGAGTAACAAAGTTTAAATGCAGAACTTTGCTTTTCAAACACACCCTATCAAGACATAGCAGCAAAAGCAAAATGGAACCCTGTTGTTTGTGCATTTATTTTCATATCTGATTGTTTAGCTGAATACATTTCAGGTTCATTTTTTATTAAGCCCTTATTAAATGATACATTTATGCAGTTTAACACCTTTGTCCTGAAAGATCAGAACACGCTTTAAGCTGTGGGCATAGTGATAGAGTTTTTCTATTTTATCTTCCTTTAAAAATAGTCTTGATTTTTTGTATTTAATTAAGTTTATATAGTCTTAAGTTTGCTAATGTAACTATAGAAATGTCGATTTAGAACCAAAGTTCGCACAGCACTTGTAACTTAACCATGTTGAATACGTATCTTAAATCAACAATGAACAACAACTACTGCAATATATACCATATGCAAAATAGGGCTAAATTATGGTTGCTTTGGGAAACTTAATGTGTAAATATTATCTACTGATCAAAATAATTTATTGAATATTTTCCTGTTCAATATTAAATTTGTAAAACTTATAATTTCACCAAAGATAAATAAAAATGAGTATTTACACCTCTACTAGACTCTGTAGTTTCCATGCTGTTGTAGATGGCATTGATGGATTTGGTTTCCTACATTTAATAAAAGGTACTAAAAACCCTTGATATAAGAATAGATGAACATGAGCCCTGCCAGATGGAACACCTAAAGGAAGAATATACATCACTGAAAGACTCATTCAAGAAAGTTCTGTTGAGACTATATTTTGTTGTTACTTGTATGTCTGGCCAGATTGTGTATAGAGAAGGGTTACTACATTGCAATAGAAATTTAGCCCCAAGACTTGTAGAAAGTCAGAGATGTTCTGAAGCCTCTGACTGTGTGACCCCAATTTGGGCTGTGAGACACTAATGGTTGCTACAATAATCCAATGGATGAATGCATGCCAACGGCCAGGGGCGGCTCTATGTATTTTGCTGCCCCAAGCACAGCAACCAGGTGGCTTTCGGCAGCACGCCTGTGGGAGGTCTGGCTGGTAACACGGATTCAGCGGCATGCCTGTGGGAGGTCCGCTGGTCCCACGGCTTCGGCGTACCCGCCGCTGAATTGCCGCCGAAGCCGCGGGACCAGTGGACCTCCCACAGGCTTGCTGCCGAAGGCTCCCTGACTGCCGCCCTCATGGCGACCAGAAGGCCACCCCCCGCGGCTTGCCGCCCCAGGCACATGCTTGGTGCCTGGAGCCGCCCCTGCCTAGGACTCCCACTGACCTCAGTGGGACTTCTTCAGAGGGAGCCTTATGTACTTGTACAGAAAGAATTGGGTTCAAATATATTTGTTTGTGTTAGGAATTTGGAGGTTTTGGCTTCACTTCTATTCATAAACTGTGCAGAAACTTTGCCCTTTTCAGGTTGTGAAATCCATATCACCACATGATAAATGGAATACTATGTAAGACCAAAGTGTACAAGCTATTTTTTTTTATTCCCCCCCAACCACACACACACACACACACACTTGTGCCCTGTATCTCTATTTAAAATGTTATCTTTGACCTCAGCTGTAAATTGATGTTGAACATCCTTATGTCTGACGTGAACTTGCAGACTTCATGGAGCCTTTTTATTAGGTCTGTCTCTAAAGAATTACAGTCATTCCCATCTTGAGTCAGTGTGCTGGGGCTGGACTATTTTGTTGCACTCGGCTATTATTTTGTAGAACTTAATTTTTTTTGTTAAGATAATAGGATTTATTACTAATTGGAAATGTTTCTTATTTTGTATTTTTAAGCAAAAATTGGTATTTTCTCACCACTCTGATGATAAAATCCTTTTGCATTTGTCAAGCTGTCTGAAATAGCTGACGAGCATGAGTGACAACCTCAGGGCAGACTGTGAGGAAGCAGGGCTCAAACCCCAAATTGGTTGGGAGTTCTACACTTAGATTTCACCAACCAAGAAGCGTGAACTCCAAGCGCTATAGCAACCTACCCATGGAGTTACAGATAGTCTCCTGGCGTAACCCAGTCTGTATTGCCACTTGGGCAAACTTGCCTTTCTGCTAGATGGTCCCATATACTAAAAAAAACACAAGCAATATTCAGGTTACGACCAGTCACTTACCTAAGGTCAATTGCACCTTAGACCTCACACCAAAAGACAATACTTGTAGCCAATCCTATAATAAGCTAACTAAAGGTTTATTAACTAAAAAAAGAAATGTTATTTACAAAGTTAAAGCAGGTGAACAAATGAGTTACCATCTTCGGTTCCAAAGGGCAATAGATGCGGCTGTGATCTGCATTCTATGTTCTTGAGAGCTAATCCAAGCTAAGCAGCTTGAGGATCCCTTGCTTATGTGTAGAAATATTGCCCTCTCTGAATGCCAAGCACCAGAGTGATGCAGTTCCTTCTGGTCAGGGATTTTTATATCTTTCTCCCTGAGTTCAGACTCATGGGACAAGTGTTTGTGCCCATCTCTTCTTCATGGGTGGGCGTGTGAGGGGGGACACAGTCAACAAAGTCTCTGGCCTTTTAATGTTTCACAGCGGCTTATTTGGTTTCAATGGCCCTTCTTGTGTGAAGGACTAGCACTTTACGTTAATTGATGCTGCTTTCCTGTTTGAGTTACGCAGTTAGAGATTTACATGCAAACATTCAATATAACTTTATACCATGGGAGATGGAGGTTATAAGTGAGATCAGTACATCCTACAAACATTTCATCAGGTCTAAAGACATTCTTATAAACTTAACGTCTCTTAACACTAACACACAGCTGAGCCGGCCTGGTTTTCAGTTGTGCATTTGTTTTTTTGTCTTTTTTGTTTTTTTGTCAAGACTACTCTTTTTCTTTCAAATGAATTTTCATCATTTACAGAAATGTGATTCTGGAAATGTCAACAGAGAAGTAACTCAGTGACCCCTTTAAACGCAGTTAATTTAAAATATTTAAATATATTTCGGTGCAGCAAGAATCCTGGATTTAACTTCAAGATCTTATTTTAGGAAAATCAGTATCTTGGGAAACATTACACTTCAATCATTTTTTATAATGGTCCAACATACTGCACATACATTAAAATAACCACATCTACTGTAGTTACTAGAAGCTTAATTATTCGTGAATGCACAAGTGGAACAATAAAGATGGAAAAGGTTCAAATATAAAGTAGTGAGATAAAACAATTTTAAAAGGGCTGAGGTAAACGTCACACGTTTTAGCCATTCAATAGCTCCAGGGTCAGCAGAGTGGAGCCTGGAAAGTCCTGCCGATAGACTAGCATGAGAAGAGCAGCCGTTCAGTAGCTATGCAGATGGCAGTTCCTGAGCCCCACCCGTCTTGTCTTATTAGCTCGATCAAAACTTGAAACTAAGCCTGTTAGAAAAATCAAAAAGTAGTGTGGCAAAAAAATTCAAAATGTTGAACTTGTTTTCCTTTCAAAATAGAACCATTTTTCCAATTTTTTTAATGTATTTCAATTTCTCCCCAAAATGTTATCAACATTTTATAAAAATAGATAATAAATTTTAAATTTAATATTTGCCTTCAATTTTTAAAATGTTCACATTTTTCATAAAAAGTGTAAAATATTAACAATATTGACATGTTTTGCACAAATTTTTTCCAAATAACTTTTTGTTTGGAAAACTTGCACCAGCTCTGCCTGAAACTTGTTTTTTTTTAGGTTTGTTTTCCTTTATTTTTGTTTCTCCATTTTAAAAAAAATCCTAAAGAAATTGCTATTTAAAAAATGTGAAGCCTGCAGATTGGTAAGTGCTCAACTCTCCGACGTGGTGCCAAGGAAAATCTAACATAGATTAGAGTAAGTCAAGTCCAGACTTCGTTTATTCAGTCCTTTTTCACATTAATAGTGCTTCATTCATAAAGTGTGATGTGGAATGCAGGTTAAATTGAACAGGTGCAACTTTATTAAACCCTGTGGACTGTTCTGTCCATGCAGCTGAGTTGCTTCCAGCCTAGCTCCCTGCATTCCCTCTTCCGTTGGTGTCCCTTCAGTAATTTCCCAGTGGAAACATTGGCTGTGTGAGGCCAGTTCCACTGATAATGATGCATCTTCCCTATTTTCCAAACATTTTTATATAAACATTAAAAACAAAGAATTGATGTTCAGACTCCCATCCCACGTCCTTTCAGCCTGAGACTGCTAACATATAGCCGAGCTGGAGTCTCGTTTTTACCACAAACTCAGCTGGTTACATAGTCTGAGATAATTTTGGTCTCATCAAGGGACCACACAGGACTGACTGTCTCACTGCATATATGTCTGTGGCTACTGAAGTTTCCGTTGTATTCCCCATGTAAGCATCTGTTGGAAATATTATTTATGTGGGGTACTAATTCACAATACTAATGTAAGCATTAATTCCTTTATTAAATCCAAAGGATGAATGGTATTTATAAAATTGATCTAAATGAGGAACAATTTACTACATCCAAACAGTAACAAAACATTTATAAGCATTTGATCAAGATATTTACAAACAGGCTAAAGTCCTTGGTGCTTAGAACCATAGTGATTGGCTCCAACTTGGTCAGGCAGATATTAGCAATGAACCCTTTAAGAGCTGTTACTTTTTTTATATCTACCCTTTAACAAACAAGCCATATCATTGCCAATTGTTGGACCTTAGCTAAGGCCAAATGAAGGAGTTTATGTAGCTGATTATTGCACCTGGTACCCAATTAACCGTGTTTTATTTCTATTCCCTTATTTAAGGTTTGGGCTAAAATAACACTGGTATTTCCAAGGGCCGCTACAAGTTTCATACTTTTCTTT